CGGTAGGTGAGATGTGGTAGGGGGCGGTGCCACATTACAAAATTGCCCTTTTACCTTAGTTCATTAATTGGGGGTCAAAATAACACTTACCTATCTCAATGCAACCAGCAACACTACTACAACAGATTGTTTAAACTTACCTAAATTTCTCAAAAATCAACCGAACATTGATGTGTAAACCAGATTATGATGTGCGTTGATGCGTGTGTATAATCTATATAAGGAAAATTTACATACATACCACATTTTTTTATGTATTTACATACCTAACATCCAAAGTTTAATATTTACATTTATAACACATTGGTATTACAAACCAATGCATGAAAAGGTGTATTTCAATTAAAAAAAAAGGTAATGAGAGGGGTGCTTTTGAAGTGATGTTAAAAAGTTGAGTGTTATGCAAGTAAATAGGACTATTTAGATGCCGGACATGTAAATACATAAGAATTCAGCGGTATAAAAGTAAATGCCCCTATATACAATACATAATGCATATAACTTAACATAACATATATGGTTAAAAACCTTCTTGTTCTTGAGCCATGGAGACATCAAATGCCAGAGCCTCTAGATTTTATTTTTTTCAGATCTCTACTGGGGTTTGTTGTAGTTATGTAGATGGCACAGTCGTAATTATTTGATATGTTGTTGAAATTCTAGGACTACAGTTCATATTAATGAAAGAGATCTAATCGTAAGAAGCTATAAAAGGTTCCCTAGGTTAAATATTGCACTTATAACCTGAATATTAAGCAACAACGATACCTCACTTCAATTTCAAATAGTTGGGCACAGTACACCACGCACTTATACCTAAGGTGTCAAGAAGATAAGCGAAAGATAACACTCAGAGTTTATAAGGGAAATAGAAGAAAAACATGGCCATGGAAACAAACTTTTGAAAGATTTACATGCATACTACTCAATTCTTACCTATTTACATATATAACACCTAAACTGCAATTTTTACATATATATAAGCCACCTTACCTATATATGAAAATATGTATTTCACTTTTTAGAAGTTCGAAATAGTGATGTTTTCGATGTGATATGAAAGATTTGAGCGGTCAATGTGAAAAAGAAAAAATTAAGTGTTAGATATGTAAATACATAAGAATTGGGCTGTGCATGTGAATGCCACAAACTTTAATGTGTGTGCAATCTACAAGGGATATTCTAAGTGGCTCCAGCAACTATTGTTGCAGCAGAGGTTTGTAGGTAGGGTTGTCAAAAAAGCTTGTTGTAAGCGAACAGTTCGTGTTTGGCTCGTTAAGTAGCTCTTGTTCGGCTCGTTCGTTAAGTAAACGAGCCGAACA